TTTTTTTTCCATTACTACAATTTGCGACATGAAGCGTTAATTTTATTATTAACATTCTTGATTAATAAATCAAAAAAGGTATTTTATTGAAAAACAGAAAAAATAGAAAATAATAAGTATAATAAAGTCCTTTGTATGTACAATTTCAGTTGGAAAATTCTGGAATGGAATAAAAGATACAGCAAAGAAGTACTTATTCAACCCTTATTATAGACTATTTTTGATGCAGGTCTTGTTCAAAAGCACTTGGGATTCCAAATATGGTACGTTTAACCTTCTAATGTTTGTTTTATTCATCTAATGGAGTCATGGTTAATAGTGTTTCACTGCTTCAATTAAATTAAATGTTCATATTTCTGAATTCATTATCTCTTCAAAATTCTTTCTTTTCTTTATTCATGATAAAAATATATTACATAAATATTTTTTACAAAAGAATGACACTGTTTGTGATAAAATTTTTCTTGTTTCTGACTGTAGTTATCTAACTTGAATTTATCATTTACGTAACAGTATCTATTATATAATTTTTTTTTTATTTTTATATTTTTTAGCCCACGGTTTTTTAAAATTTAACATCTAGATAATGCTGTTAAAAAAATAAAAATTTTTGTTTTGTATTAAAATAATTCTTAACATTTGCAAATTATTTTCTATGTATGACAATAATTGAATCCTATTGTGAATCGTTATTTCTATCCTCCACTTTATATATTGATTTTACGAGGCGCATGTGATGAGCCTCTATATTCCGAGACTAAAGTGGCTACCAAACATTATTCTGGAATATTGCCAGACCTTCTTCGCTTAGTTGTATTCACTGGAGACCTGCTGATTTGCGTATTGACACAGTTACTTATCCCGCACCTTTAACGGTTAATTGGATTATTAGTTTAACTAGAAACGCGAATTTCGAACTCAAACTACTTTGTTTTACAAAAAGCTTTAGCTGTATAAAAGCTATAAAATTTAATTCTAAAGGAAAAATCAAAGGCTTTGTGTTAATAATAATAAAAAATCTTTTATTTTTTTTAATTATTTACAAATAATAATAATCTTTTTTTAAAAAAACTTAAATCTTTTTTTTAATGCTATCTATTCAGTATTCAATAGAAAAGGTTTGAGATATATGATATTTTATTTTCCTGTGCAGTTGATTTTAATTAAAGCAAACACTTGATAAATGAGATCAAGTGACATTAAGCGTTAGTTCTTTAAAAGCGAGCATTCAAACTGTGCATTTGATCTTTAAAAAAACAATTATTCTAAATAATTTTCATTAAAAAAAATTCAGTAACGTTGAAAGAAAAATACGTTTAAATATATATTCAAGGTACCTCACTTATTGTTGACGTAAATAAACGTTAAAACCACCGCGCACCGTTAACCTACTTTGTTAAAAAAATGTATACATTTTGCTTGTTAAAGAAAAAAAATCACACTTGTAATAAAAAGTTGTCCCGTATCTTTCACAAAGTGCTTTGCGAACGATACTACATACAACAACAACAACTGCTACTGCTCCTGTAAAAGGAAAGGCAAACGAATGACAAATGATGAAAAACTGGTGGTACTGAACATTTTCTACAAAAAAAAACAACGATTGGTAGTTTGCTATTTGCCATTCGTTTGTCTTTCCTGTTTCCAACTGTTTCTACTTTAAGCTAAAAGGGTGTTTTTGCTTTAAATCTCTTCTGCATAGATGGGAGCACACATTCAGAGAATTAAAAGCTTATTACAGTGAAAACAATATGTTTCAAAGCATTGTAGTTTTATTGCACTGAAATTTTAAAGAACTGATGATATTTCACTTGTAATGATTAATGACAAAAGATAGATGCTCGGACTCCATTTATTATGGAAACAATGTTTGGTTTCTGTTCCTTACAAATTAAGTTCTAAAAAATAGTTCAGAAAAAATTGTTTTTCACTGAATAGTCTAACAGAAAGGTGAAACCTTTTTGAACATCATATTATTCGAATATCGCTATAAACCTGGACCTAAAGATAGAATTCTAATCTATTGTTTATTCTGATTTCAAGTTTTTGCTATAAAGAAATTTTCTATAGTACAACAAAAATATAAATAGTAAAAACTTAGTTCCATATAGAGCAAAAGATTGAAGCTCAATTTCTTCAGTTAAAGATTAGCAAAAGTTTAATGCAGAATAACTTTCACTTAGAAATGAAACTGCGTATTATGAGTTCCCAAAGGAAATGGATAACGGTCAGAGAGTAAAGATAAGAGTAGAGAAAATGATTCTCATGGGATACTTTCGAAACAGTAGACGACCTCGACTATAATGGCTAATAGGCCTTTGACTAAAGCTTCTCATCAAGAGCAGAAGCTGCAGGAGTCAACTGAGGTTTCTCATACCAAAGTCTGTCTTTATCTTCTGATAGAAGGTGATACATGAAAGTTTCATATTCCATAGTTTCGCTGGGAATTAACGGAACAATGTTAATGGAAATTTCTATAACTAACGGTCAAAGTCTTGTGGTTTAGTTTCATTTTACACTTTTAAACTAATATACGCTCGTTCACATACATACAAAAAGTAGATGTTCATTTAAATATTTAACGATTTATATTAAAATTAGATTCGTATAATTTTGTAGCATTGAAATAAAATTTTTAAAATCATAATCTCTTAAAAGAATCTAAAGATTTTTGATATTCTGTAAGTTATTCCATTATCAAATTAATGAGAGTTCTATATTTTCATCTCTCGAAAAGATGCGACGTGATGATTTACATGTTCTTAATCCATTGATTTAGCAATCTCACTTTTTTACGATCAGCAGAATATTTTATTATCCTCATATTATTTTAGCCATAATCTTTTTAATGCGCCAAGAAACGCCAGGATTTTCAACTTCGCAAAGAGACTCACGCCAAGGCAAGGTGACGAATTCATGAATGTAAAGCAGTTGAACCATTCAATTTTATGACTGCCGTCTGCCAGCAATCTGAGATTCGTCCCTGTATAATCTATCTTACTTTGTTATATAATGTATGCGAATTTTAGAAGCGGCCAGAGGGAGACATGAAAGAACCGCGGCCGATATTTAATAAGAAAAACCTCGAGATGCGCTTTCAAGTGAACCATGCTATGAACATTTTTTCTAAATTCTTTATATCCTTATTATTATACAATGAAAATACATTCTCAAAGAGAAATATTTTAAGTATAATACTTTCTGTTTTATTAATAAACTACTACATCTATTTTTTATTGCTGTATCATTTTACAAATTCCTCATATTCACATTCACTTGTATATATATTTGTGGTAGATCTCATTTCATCAAACATGCTTTTGGTTCAGATTGATATTGTACACATAATATGTTTCCTAGTCACAAGACAATGAGTTTCAATGCGCTTTGTATAATAACAAATCGAATCAATAATTTCAATTGAATTGATATATGAAATAATTAGAAATCGTATTACACATCTATATTTAGTTATATATATATATATAAAGCACAAATCTAAATTTCAAATATAATCAACAAGATTTATTACCCTTTCAAAAAGTTTATAATTTACTCTTAATTTTATAATTGCAATCAAAATTTTCCGCAATCGAGTAACATGAGAAAAAATAGAAATAATTTACAAAAAATAAAGAACAATGATGAATGAAGGAAATTAAGAATCAAATGCATAAAGCTTTATTCTTTCTCAAAGTTTATACACTAAATAATAAATTAAACTCTGAGTGTTCGATTTAATGTTTAACTTCTAAAGTTGGAGATGAGCCAACAACTTCTCTATTAATACTATCATTATTATGGAAAATACGCAAAACTTTAACAGTATTTTCTTTGAAATTGAGATATACTTCCGTTTAGTGAATATTAATTAAAGTTGGATGAACATAATTGCAAAGCAGAAGCATGTATATATGCATCAAAATACTTTTGGATATAAACAACACTCATAATTACAGTCTCTGAATACTGGTGTCACGTCTGTTACTTTTTTTAAATTATTTAAAAAATTGGTATTAAAAATGACTCATTTAAAAATATACACTTGTAACCTAATTAAAACAAAAATCAATAAAGGTACCGCAGATGTTTTCCACGAAATATCCTCTATAGAGAAATTTTTATTAAGTCTGTTACCAAAATTAAGAATTCAATTTCGGCTAAGGTGATAACAGTAACTTCTTTATATGTAGAAAATATTTTTGCAAAAAAAATTTCTTTTTGTACAAAGAAGGAATTAGAATATTTTAAAGTTCATGTAAATCAATTATTATATATTATAAAAGATAAAATAAAACCAGAAAATTATTTGTTGTTCTTTAATTAGAACATGGATACAAACAAATTCAATTCTCTGAACATAATTTTCTTTGTTTTTCAAAATGAAAGTCTATTTATTGATGCAAATGTAATTAAAGAGAATTACTGAAGCAAATGAACAAAGGTTTATTAAACTTCAAACAATTCTCTAATTCTCTTTCATAGTTCTGTATATATAGTTACATTAAAATGGTCTAAAATCGATTGGGATTTGAAGCTCGATTTTCCAAGTTGCATGATTGATGCCACTTTGATATCATAATTAATTATTCAAACATTCTAAAAATTATTCACAAAAATTTTCATCTCAATCCGATCAAAAGTATATTTTACCAGAAAAATGTAGGTAAAAATTATCAACTCTCTTGGGATACCTTTTGTGTTACTCCAGAGGGATTAATTCGAAAAATTAAAATTCCGAAAACTTTGAATTATGTAATATTAACATAAACTTTTATATCAAATAAAAAAATGGTCTCGCAATAATAAAAATCAAACAAAATCTAGAATCACTGGTATACAATATTGTTATCTGATTTTCTCCATTTGGTCAAACATTGTTCATCTTATTATACCCTTGTTTTGCAATCTGTTCCTTAAGAAATAAAAATGTAGTCGGACAATGCCGATGAACAGATAAGGGAGGAAAAAAATAGGATTAAAGAGAGAAAAAAACTCACCCTTGCTAGGGCAACTGCTGGAAAAGTGTCCCAGACAAGTTGAGCTTCCTCGCCGGTGCCTCCATGACGTTGACCCGAAAGTATACGTGATGCTGTGAGAGTACTCATGCCCATACCATCACCTACAAAAAGCACAACACCACGTGCCACACCACCGGGCGGTGTTGACCCGGTACCACTTGCACTTGCAGCAGCACGAAGTCGAGATTCGATTCCACGCGTTGCACTCTCGTACCAGATCTTCCTCTCTAAACAGACGAACAAAAAATAGAAATACAGAATATCTTGTTAGCCATATTTTTTAAAGCAAACACAGAAAAATAAAATGTCCCAAATTTCACAACCTTGTTAGCTGAAAATTTAGAAAATTAAAATATAAAATGCCAATGTAAATTACAACTAGAAATTTATAATCGAGAAGCTATTCACTGAGATTCGAGAGATCCAGTGACAATTAGATGACAATTAAAAGAGAGGGGCCAAATAAATGTCTAAATTTTATTTATTAAATAAATATTTTACATATGTAGAAATAATTTATATTTTTCACTTGTAAAAGAGGAAGAAAAAAAAACAAGTGTATTTCCTCTGTAAATGTATCAGAATACAAAAGTTTTCATTCAAGGAAATGAAAGTTCAAGAAGTACATTTTCAAAATCTCATTTCATTCTCTAGATCATTCTTTGTCCGTTCTTGAGTAAATATGCGAAATCGAATGTAGGAAATGTTTAAGAATACTAAAACAGGGCCAAGATTTTTCTTATATCAAAAATGCTATCAAGATTGTGGGCGGGGTAAAAAAGGTGACATTTTCGATTTTCCTTTGTGTTTGCTGTCTTATTTTTTATTTATTTATTCATTTATATATACATATATACACAATTGTCAAACAGAATTGTAAATTGTTTCGTTCGTATATTTGTCTGACAGATGCAAAAGGCATCTCTCCATTTGTGTGTTGCTCGAGGTTCCGTTTCGGAAGGAATTACGGAACTTGAAGATTTGGAATGCGGCTACTTCGAACTTGCGAACCACTTTGTTGCGAGACGTGCCTCTCATATTGCTTAAGGATCAAGCGATATTGCATCAGGAATTCATTAAACATGGAATGTTACGAACACAAATGGCTTTGTAGATGGCCACATTATTGTAGAACGATTCTATAATTTAACGTCAATTTCAAGTTTTCAACGTCTATATTTTGATCAATAGTATATTCATAGGACCAGTTACTCTCTCCCTCGAATTGTTTCATTAAAATTTAATGTTTTGTAACAATTTTATTGAATTTTGAGAACCATTTAATTCTGTAAATCAATTTAGTCAAAAAAATTTTTAGTTGTACTTTTTTTGCGTGTAGAATAGAATTATTATATAGCAGATGTAGGGTAAAAAATGTGGATTTCTCGTTTATATGTTAGACGTATACCATTTAACCTCAGTTTCTTTTGTTATTGAAACTATTTTATAAAGTAACCGAATTCTTTCTTCGGGAAAGCAATTCGTAAGGAGCAACTTTATCAAGAGAATCAATATAAGACAGAGTTGTCTAAATCGTATTGTTTAAGGTTTGAACAGAAATCTCATTAAAACTGGAGAATAGGAAAAGAAATCCTTATTCTTTACTTTAAACTTTAGTTTCCTAATAAAACACACTAAGTAAATATTACTTTTTGTTTCTTCTTTTTAACAATAGATACACATATATACTTAAATGTAATGCCTGTTAAAAATATATCACAGTTTGTTAAAAAAATTAAGTAGTATTTAATAAATTTCGATATATAATACATTTCAAATGATGCAAATTTTAATTTTCCTTTGGCAATTATTTTTTTTTACTTGAGAATCTCATTTTTCCAAAATGGATCATTCTGGAATAATTTATAAAGTTTTCGACTTTCTCTCACTGTCTGTATGTCTGTCTGACTCTCTCTTTTCTAAGTTTTGAAGTTACAAGACTAAGTCATATAGAGATAGTGAGCGCCACTCACTGTTTGAAGTTTATCGTCTAAACTTTACGGATATGTAACAAGAGTTGATCGACTTACGAATTTCTAGGAAGGCAACTTTTTGTTTTATGTTCGCACAAGTACTGGGTTTTGCCGTGTAAGAAAAGTTATTTTTTGATGAATTGCGTAATCATTTGAATTAAACTAAAATACATGCTGTTCAAAAATTTTAATACAAGTCATATTTGTTATATAAATAAATAGAAGTAACAGAATTATAATTACATTTAAAATAATAAAATAGTAACAGTTTTTAATTAAAAAGCAATTAAGGGATACAGTTAAAATAGATTAACTGACTAACGTATGCTATATAATGCATATATAATATATTCTGCATGTTTCAGTTTTGCATTTACTTATGTACATACACATTGTATGCAGTTATTACTTCTAAAGTTCTAAGTTACCTTTAGTGTTAAATCCGTTTATGTTTATCCACGAGTATATTTATGTTTAATGTTCGATATGAACGTGTGCTTAATGAATGTATTTTATAGACTTGAATCTATGTTTAAATTCAATATATTTGAGTATAAAATTTTTTTTATGAAAAAATGTAGAGAGAAAAAGGTCTAATTTTCCGTTAAAATTATTATTAAAATTTTTTCAATTTAAAAAATTGTTTTTTAATTCTCTAACTGGTACTTTTAATTGTAGTGCACTTTCAATAATTAATTGACTTTATCCCTTTCATTTATTTCAATTGTACTGGTTTAATATTAGATACACTAAATACAAATTTCAAATTACTCTGAATTTCAAATACATTGAATTAGTGAGAATTCCACTAGTTTCAATTGATTTCATGAACAATTGAAGAGGTCACGTGAACTTCAGAGTAGAGACTTCAAAGGATAATATTTAAACCTATAATTTGAAGAAAAACTCTTAATTATCATTAAAAAAAATGGTTTATTCTTTGAAAACTAATATTTTGTTTGTATATAAAAACTTGTTGTACTAAATTGAATAAAAAGTTTATGTATCATAATAAAATGGCTACTTTAATTTTTAAATCCTTTTCCAACTGTTTGTGGCTGAGATAAAAATTATATTTAATTGGCTTTATTTTATTTTCTGTTTTGTAAATTTCAAAGTTAAAATTAATATTCCTTTTTACTGAGCGAAATTAGTTTTACCCGAGCGATTGGTGTACAATTAGGAGGAATTAATATATTATATCATTTTAAGAATTGTATGAGGAATTTAACTTTAACGGCAAGAAAGGAAGTAGCAGCAGATGTTAAAATTTTCTTCGTTATTGGGCAAAGATAATATCTGCAGTTGAACAATTTTGTATGATGTACAATATATATATAAAATTTGCTGCAAGCTCAGTGGTAAGTGTTTCACGGGCATGAAGAGCTTCAAGTAAACTCTCGTCGAGTCTAATGCATGCCGAGCGTTAATGCAAGTTCGCTTGTATTGTATATACACCAATGAGCTTTGTGGCATAAAAGCGAGGCTTACTTTTTGATCCGCGCTTTTAAGAATTCTAAGCACACGAAACTAATGGAAGAAGAAAATGAAAAGCAATGAATGTATTGCAATGTAAGCTTAAATCGCCACAGTGTGTATGGTTATCTTAAAGCTCCACAGGAAATGAATTAGATACGTGGAAAATTCATTTGAATTAAGCCAAGCCGAGCTGAAGGTTTTATGAGTTGAGACATCGTAAACTTTTATCGCTCTTACGATTTTGTTTCAACAAGTTTTATCTGCGTGAGTTACGGCATTGTCTTCTTTTCAGTTCGTTTTTTTACTCCTTTCTTTTTTTTTTATTTATTTTCTCTCTTCGATTCGTAACGATTTGAAACGTTTTTGAAATAAATATCTCAAGATATATTAACGATCCTTGAGAACAGTGAAGGTTTTAAGCATTGATTACGAAAGTTATTGTTCCACTTTGAAAAGTGAAAACCTCCAGTATTACTGCAGAGAGTTTTCGCCGCATGCGATTGTAAAAACTAAAAGACGCCTGAGTTAAGATAAAAGGAAAATATAAAGAGCAATGAAGAATATGACATAAAAACTAGATAGATTTTAAAAGAAGGAAAAAATCAGTAGACTCGATACTTAGTTAATTTTTCCAATTATTATTTATAAGAATAGTGAGGACGATACAATGAAGGTGATGGCAAAGCTATTAGATGACAATTGTCTGCTGATTGGTAAAATCACCAGAAGTGATTACACCAATTACCGGCAGGTCCTTCGGTAATGACATTCGCGGTTAAACTCAATTTACTGCCCTCTACAATAAATCGATCTATCCATCTTGTAGAAATATATTCTAATTCAAAAGTGGTAAGTGGTTATTTTCATTAGAAAAAAGTTATAGCCTTTGTTGATACTCAGTTTTACATTGAAAGTTTATGCTCATGAATCAGCTCTGATGTGCTCTAAAAATAATTAACTAATTCAAAAGCGGGTTTAAATAATTTGTAAAGTGTCTACAACTCTTAAGAACTCCTGACGTAATTCATTAATTAGTCCTTAACTCCTTGACGACGGCTTCTCTAAATACTAATCTGTGAAACTTATAACTCTCTCTCTCTCTCTCTCTCAACAGTTTCTCTATTCCACTTTGTATTCTATCACTTAGGGATTTTAGTATATATTTTAGTATATAACATACTTTGTTGTCATTTTTAATCTTTGTATACGAAATAAGAAAACAGTTCAAAATTGAAACATATAGATTTCTCACAGTTAACTAATATTTTCCACTGTTAGAACGTAATTAATTTATAATCCCTTTTTTTCAAAGCATTATTTTTACCTTCAGGGATTATTCGCTTGAAATATTGTAACACGATTGCCGTGAGGAGTTTTGTAACAATAGACAATTTATAATAAATTAATTTTTTTAAAAATATTTATTTAAAAAAGTGTCTTAATTGGAAGTAAAAGTTTATGATGCTGAGTCTAATGATATCATATACATTTATGGCCAATTACCAATTTCCGGGACACTGAAGTGCTCGGGATGCAGAAATGGTCTCTACACTTGGCTTTGTCCTGTCCAGCAACAACGGGACTATTATTGGATCCGGATATTTTCCCACTATCTTCACTCTCTACTTGCTTCCTCGTCCGAGTTACGCTTTATCGGCAAATCGATTAATTAATTTCACCTCGATAGGTTGCAAAAGTGTAATAAATAAAAATAAACTTTGAAAGGTATATACACAAACGAAGGTAATTTAATTGCCGCGTTAATAATTAGAGAA